CTAAGAATCCCATTCACACCTTGAGAAGAAGAAACACGACTTGGTTAATGCAATTTACAAGAGTCAAGGTGTCCATGCTCATCCACCTCGGGAGACATCAGATACTTCGTCATGAAGGGTGTCGGAGATAATATCCGCCTGTCACTTCCATGTTGTTTGTACCCTCCTCTCTCAGCGGGTCCTTTGGCGTTGGCGTCATCCTCAGATGTCCCACAGAATATAGATGGTTCAGTAATAAGTACAATATCTGCCAGCGAGGTCCTGAAGGCTACATCTCCTGGGGGTTTGATAATGAACTCAGCCGCGGAAAGATTCAGCTACACACGAGGCACTTTGAAATTGCTCCTTTTTTTTTTTCCCCCAGGCGGGATAAATAATTCAATCCTTCCATAAAATTTTTATCTACACATCAGCCTTACAAACGCTTCCAAAGACTTATATGCCATGACACTATGATAATGAGAGGCCTCCACACAAATCACATCTTCCAACTGATTCAGGTTCATGTTGATGAAGACATGGGAAAAATAACAAGTTGGGATTACCACAAGTTATTTCCCTGGGGGCTGTGAGCCGGGACATTCAAATGAACTTTTTGAATAGATGATTACCATGAGTTATTTCTATGGGGAGTTGGGAAAAGGAACCAGGGAATCGGGGAGGTCATTAATTAAGTTCAGGTGAACTTTTTGAAAAGATGATTACCATGACTTATTTCCATGGGGAGTTGGGAAAAGGAACCAGTGAATTGGGGAGTTCATTAACCAAATAAATTCAAGTGAACTTTTTGAAAAGACAATTACCATGACTTATTTCCATGGGGAGTTGGGAAAAGGAACCAGGGAATTGGGGAGTTCATTAACTATTAAATTCAAGTGAACTTTTTGAAAAGACAATTACCATGGAGTTATTTCCTTGGGGAGTTGGGAAAAGGCACCAGGGAATTGGGGAAGTCACTAAGTTCAGGTGAACTTTTTGAAAGATGATGATTACCAAGAGTTATTTCCATGGGGAGTTGGGAAAAGGAACCAGGGAAGCAGGGAGTTCATTAACTATTAAGTTCCAGTGAACTTTTTAAAAAGATAATTACCATGACTTATTTGGGGAGTTGGGAAAAGGCACCAGGGAATTTGGGAGGCCATTAACTATTAAGTTCAGGTGAACTTTTTGAAAAGACAATTACCATGAGTTATTTCCTTCGGGAGTTGGGAAAAGGCACCAGGGAATCGGGGAAGTCATTAAGTTCAGGTGAACTTTTTGAAAGGATGATTACCAAGAGTTATTTCCATGGGGAGTTGGGAAAAGGAACCAGGGAATTGGGAAGTTCAATAACTATTAAATTCAAGTGAACTTTTTGAAAAAACAATTACCATGACTTATTTCCATAGGGATTCTGGAAAAGGCACCAGGGAATCGGGGAGGCCATTAATTATTAAGTTCAGGTAAACTTTTTGAAAAGATGATTACTATGAGATATTTCCATAGGGATTCGAGAAAAGGAACCAGGGAAGCAGGGAGTTCATTAGCTATTAAGTTCCAGTGAACTTTTTAAAAAGATAATTACCATGACTTATTTGGGGAGTTGGGAAAAGGCACCAGGGAATTTGGGAGGCCATTAACTATTAAGTTCAGGTGAACTTTTTGAAAAGACAATTACCATGAGTTATTTCCTTGGGGATTCGGGAAAAGGAACGAGAGAAACAGGGAGTTCATTAACTATTATGTTCATGTGAACGTTTTGAAAAGATAATTACCATGAGTTATTTGGGGAGTTGGGAAAAGGCACCAGGGAATCGGGGAGGCCATTAATTAAGTTCAGGTGAACTTTTTGAATAGATGATTACCATGACATATTTCCAGGGGATTTGGTAAAAGGAACCAGGGAAGCAAGGAGGCCATTAACTATTAAGTTCAGGTGAATTTTTTGAAAAGACAATTACCATGACTTATTTCCATGGGAAGTTGGGAGAAGGCACCAGGGAATTGGGGAGGCCATTAACTATTTATTTATTTATGAGGTTCAGGTGAACTTTTTGAAAAGATGATTACCATGAGATATTTCCACGGGGATTAGGGAAAAGGAACCAGGGAAGCAGGGAGGTCATTAACTATTAAGTTCAGGTGAATTTTTTGAAAAGACAATTACCATGACTTATTTCCATGGGAAGTTGGGAGAAGGCACCAGGGAATTGGGGAGGCCATTAACTATTTATCTATTAAGTTCAGGTGAACTTTTTGAAGAGATGATTACCATGAGACATTTCCTTGGGGATTCGGGAAAAGGAACCAGGAAAGCAGGGAGGTCATTAACTATTAAGTTCCAGTGAACTTTTTGAAAAGATGATTACCATGACTTATTTGGGGAGTTGGGAAAAGGCACCTGGGAACCGGGGAGGCCATTAACTATTAAGTTCGGGTGAACTTTTTGAAAAGACAATTAACAATGAGATATTTCCACGGGGATTCGGGAAAAGGCACCAGGGAAGGGAAGTCATTAACTACAAAGTTCAAATGAACTTTTTTTTTTTTGAAAAGACAACAGAAATATACTCTACTACATTTTTTCGGGATAGTAAATGAACAGAATGGAATGAAAATGAAATGAAAACGCTCATCTCTGGTTGGCTCAATGGGAACTCACAAAGCTTTATTTATAAATGACAGATGAAAGGACAACAACACTCGGCTGTCACAGTCCTGGTGACCTTTTTAAAGTTAAAGTTTGTTTTTGTGTTAAGGTTCAGGCAAACAAAAACTTGGGCGGCCCAGAAAGGCCAATCAGATCTCAGGTTTAGAATGAAAATTGCAACACTTTGGCCAATTTCCCTGTGAAGTTATCAAAGATTAGCCTCCAAGTTATATAGTTGTGAAGCGGCTTCTGGACGGCCCAAACAAAAGCACACTCTAGTACAAGGGCGGACTGACCATTTGGAAACTCGGGTCAGTAGGGGGCCCCATGAGATGCCCCTGGTACCTTTTACATAGGCTTTTTTGAGTTTGGACAAGGACACAGGGGCCCCATGATCTCCTATTGCCCGGGGGCCCCATGAGCTGTCAGTCCACCCCTGCTCTAGTAGTCACCTTTCAAAACTCATTGCCAAGAAGTCTGGCCAGTCTACAAAGACATCCACTTTGAAGACCCCCCCATGAAGAAATACTTTGATGTGGTTGATGAGGTTCTACCATGGGTAGGCAACCTGAGAGCCGCAGGACTACAAGTTCCATCATGCCTCTGCAAGTCATAGCTGTAACTGTCAGTTTTGTAATGTTGCAGTGCCTCATGGGAAATGTAGTTCCACAAAAGCTAGAGAGCCGCAGGTTGCCTACCCCTAGTTCTAGACGTATCACATGGGTCACCATCAGTCTTGGCCAAGATTTAGCAGTATGGCTGCCAACATTTACCTATATTAGTCATGAAAATATGTTTCTACAATTCCCTGCGGAGTCATTTGCTAAAGTTCTTTTTTTTCTCTCATTAACCCTTTATATTTCAATCTGCATTTAAAACAAATACTGGTTCTCTCTGGCGACGTAAAATATAATCACTTATTAAAAAAATAAATCATCCATTTACACTCAGCTGGCATTGCGTGGAGTGGTAAGATATCAACTCGAGTCAAATCACCAGCCAAGCAACTAAATTCCCAAAACCACGAAAATCGGACGTACCAAAAATATCAAAAAAATAAACATTTTCTCTTCTCAACCAAAAAAAAAAAAAAAAAATAGGTGTCCTATAAAAATAAATAAATAAAAATACATTTGTCCATTCTATAACTGTGAGGGCGCATTTGACGTGGCGGCACAGTACCTGACGAAAGACCGAGCTACCGAGTACCACAAGTCCCAGCATTCCCGAGCATTTTGCTGCTCATGGTAGAATGTTTAAGCCACTGCTATCGTTAAGACGCTCACTGTGCTGCATAAAATAATGACTCCAGTTTTTCTGTGGCCCCTTGGGGCCCTTTTGGCACTTGTGTGGCCCTCGAAGCCCCTGTTTAAGTGCGTACTCAAACCAGTGAGGTAAAAGCATGCTTTACAATGTCTTCCAGTAGCTTTGGTTTAGTCATTCACATTATTGTCTTTTTCTGTGCAATTTTTTGTCTCAGTTTATGTTTTTTATAAGTAATCTGTCTGCTGTCTCCTCAAGCATGCCCCCGGGGCTCAGCATGCCTGCAGCTACCTGAAGACGTGTCTACCGATTTTGGGCACTTTAGGGCCACACTTAAAGCCCCCCTATATTGAACCACTGCTGCTCTAGTTCAACCCCAGGCAGAGGCTGCTGGGGAGTTGTAGTACCACAGCAGTTGCGTAAGCCCAAGTGAAATTCTGGCTGGATAGGACTTTGCGTTTATCTGTGGTCATAACAATTACGAACACGTTTTCCATGAGCCCAAGCCTGACTGCACTCACAATGCGGACATTTTAACATGTTTACCAATTAAAAGTAGGGATATAACATGATACAATGTATCACATCCTTTTTAAAAGGTAGCAAAGAAACATTTTTTTTTTTCAATTGTGATTCTCAAATTGAAAATTTATGTAAAAAAATATAACCTGTGAAAAAATAATAGAATGCCAAGACAGCCACTCTAAAGTGGTCGGAGATAAGAAAGGTGACTGTCTATTGGTTGGCCAGGTTTACCAATTGTCCCTTTATATCATTACATTTTTATTTTCTTTCCAAACGGACACAAATTTGAACCCATTTTTTGGTGAGATGGCCAAACCTCATTCTAGAATTTGCAAAAAAAAAAAAAAAAAAAAACCCTTCACAGTGCTAAACCAGACCTAACCATGAATGGTTAAATGGACTGAATTCTATGAATGACATAAAACACAACCACACGTGTCGAAGGGAGGGGGAATGAAACTCTAACCACACTTTCCAAAATTCATGCCGTAGCAGCATATGATCTCCTTGAAGGTCTTACGCATCTCCAGACTGCGGAAAGCGTAGATGAGGGGATCGATGACAGAGTTGCACATGATGAGGATTAAGTACGTGTTGAAGTAGGCACCGTAGCAGATGCAGTAGGAGTTGGCGGGCAGGAGATGATGAGGATGAGGTGGAGAAAGAAAGGAGCCCAGCACACAACGAAGACCCCTAAGAGGATGGTGATGGTGATGGCGCCCTTCATGCACGTCCGCTGTTGCACCACGCCGTCCACGGGCAGGGCCGCAATCCGTTTCACGTGGAGGCGGGCAAAGAGGAACATGTGGACGTACATGGTGGCCATGAGAACAAGCATGGTGAAGAACAAGGTGATGAGGCACACGATGACCGTCTTGCTCTCGGAGTAGACGATAAAGACGATCCCGCAGATGATGCAGGAGACCCAGATGACCATGATCAAAGCCAACGCTTTCTTCACCGTCATGATGCTGTGATATCGTAAGGCGTAGAAAATAGTGATGTAGCGGTCTATGGCGATCACCAGCAGGCTGCAGATGGAAGCCACCAGAGAAATGCAGATCAAAGAATCAAAGACATCGTCGAGCTGTTGGAGGAGCTTGTCCCCAATGTCCAGGTACTTGTTCTGCACGGCAATGACGATGGTTTCCAAAGCGTTGGACACGCTGACAAGCATATCGGCCACGGCCAAGCTGCAGAGGAAAAAGTACATGGGCGAGTGGAGGTTCTTGTTCTTCAGGATGGCCAGGATCACCAGGATGTTCTCCAGCAAGCTGATAATCCCCAGGGTCAGGAACACCTCAGTCTTGATGAACACCTGCTCACAAAACTCAATGCTGAGGTTGTTAAGCAAGAGAGTCTCGTTGAAGTCCAAAGTGGCATTGAACTGGATGGAATGAATGAGGAGAAGGTCATTGGATGAATTCATGACTGAAGTTTTGGGGAACTGTTCTCCAAGAGAGTGGTCAAGCCTCCTGAGATATAAATAGAAACAAAGCTATATTACCATGCAAGCTTATCCAAGGACCATTCCTGAAAACTGGTCACAGCTGATCTGATGATCCATGCATGTCCACCTTCCATGGGTTTGTAGACTTGTGTAGACCCCAACATTAGGAAGAAGGACCAGCAACTCCCTTTAAGACAGTTTCAGTGGCAAGTCTTTCCATGCTCCAGGATGCTGCAGCAATCCACAGCTCGCTGCGTTCCCTCTGAGGACTGTCTGCAGCTATTACAAGGCAAAGAAAATATATATCTCCAGGTTTTCACATTCATTGATAGTTGAAACTCCTCCTCATGCTCCAGCACATTGAATCACCCACTTAAAAAGCCAGCACAGTAGTGAATGACAGCCTGGGAGAGTAGGTGCTTACAATGTCAACACTGAAGGAAAACAGGTGTTCTGGCGCCCCCTGCAGGATATTCTATACACTTACAGAGACTTCTCATTTCCTAAGTAGCTTCAGGTAGAAGTTATGTGTAAAATGATTGCGCCGCTGCCTGATTTCTGTAATGGGAGATACATAAGAATGATGGATCTTCTCTCACAAGGGGATAAAATGTGTGCCATTTAATCTGTGATGACAAGGGTGGGCTAGAAGTCTGAAATATTCTCATCAGTCAAAACGTTTTCTGGCAACCTGCTGTACAGAATATATAATGATTAATGTATGAAGGAAGAAAGAACAAAAGAAAGAATGAAGGGGGTAGGGTAGGGTAGGGTAGGGTAGGGTAGGGTAGGGTAGGGTAGGGTAGGGTAGGGTAGGGTAGGGTAGGGTAGGGTAGGGTAGGGTAGGGTAGGGTAGGGTAGGGTAGGGTAGGGTAGGGTAGGGGTAGGGTAGGGTAGGGTAGGGTAGGGTAGGGTAGGGTAGGGTAGGGTAGGGTAGGGTAAGGTGATAGATGGGACAACAGGTACAGATCAGGACATGGGACAACACGGGACAACAGGCACAGATCAGGACATGGGACAACAGGCACAGATCAGGACATGGGACAACATGGGACAGCAGGCACAGATCAGGACATGGGACAACAGGCACAGATCAGGACATGGGACAACATGGGACAGCAGGCACAGATCAGGACATGGGACAGCAGGCACAGATCAGGACATGGGACAACATGGGACAGCAGGCACAGATCAGGACATGGGACAACAGGCACAGATCAGGACATGGGACAACATGGGACAACAGGTACAGATCAGGACATGGGACAATATGGGACAGCAGGCACAGATCAGGACATGGGACAACAGGCACAGATCAGGACATGGGACAACATGGGACAACAGGTACAGATCAGGACATGGGACAACATGGGACAGCAGGCACAGATCAGGACATGGGACAGCAGGCACAGATCAGGACATGGGACAACAGGCACAGATCAGGACATGGGACAACATGGGACAACAGGTACAGATCAGGACATGGGACAACAGGCACAGATCAGGACATGGGACAGCAGGCAGAGATCAGGACATGGGACAGCAAGCACAGATCAGGACATGGGACAGCAGGTACAGATCAGGACATGGGACAACATGGGACAGCAGGCACAGATCAGGACATGGGACAACATGGGACAGCAGGCACAGATCAGGACATGGGACAACATGGGACAGCAGGCACAGATCAGGACATGGGACAACATGGGACAGCAGGCACAGATCAGGAATAGGAATTGCTGGGTTGACATGTTCTTTAATGATCAGTTTATAAATGTTTCAATCTCACCAAAAAACATCACAACTGCCTCCCAGATGAACAAGGACACAATCTCCAGGTGGCCTAGCATGTGATTGGTTTTATCTCAGCGGTTGGCACTTGGGCTGCTCTGAGCTGAGCCCAGTGAATACGGCTCCTGAGGATGATGGGAAATTGTGGAAATGAAGTTTTGGGTTACAAATAACAACTCTGAGAAGCACTCCAGATTCTTCACAACAGCAAATCCATTACAGGGAGAGTGGAGAGCCCTCATGGTAGAAGATGCTGAGTCACCGGCCGGATGGGAAGTCGGCTCCATTGAACCCTCCGTGTACTCTCCATGACTGGGCCGTATTATCCAGGCCTGCCGTTTCCATAGAGAACTGACTTCTTTAATGAACATCCTGTATGGATGACAATGACTTTCCTCAATGCATTATACAGTATATATGATTCCCCTGACAAAGGCAAATGAATGCAAGGCCATCATCCCCGCTGAGCTTCTCCAGCTACATACAGCATGGTGGGGGGGCCAGAGTCTTTAAGAACCAGCGGCGCTGCACACTCCATGCAACCTGCTGATGACAAAATGTGAACATCTCCCTCTTGAAAACTGATACAAATAGTCCCATCCCCCCATATTATAGACGCTCTCATTGCAAGCCTGATTTCAGCCTTCAGCTAGTGTGGAAGGAGCCGAGGAATGATTTTGTCAGAATCAGTACTGAAATAAGGTTATCTAGCGCCCAGGGCAAAGATGCCAAACAGCAACGCCCCCCCCCCCCCCCCCCCCCAAAAAAAGTACGCGCATTATGTTTTAGCAAAAATCCCCCCCACACAAAAAAAGTGACCACTAATCTTCACAGTTGCCCCCTAAGCATAAAGTCCCTTTGCAAGCCGAAATTCCCTCCCCCCCAAAAAAAAATCCAACTCCCCCAGTACAAATGCCCCCACCATCTCAATCCTCTCCCTCCCAATATTCCCCTCCTAGTACAAATCCTCTACCCCTCAAATTTCCCCTCTGAGCCCAATCCCCCCTCCCTCTACAAATCTAAAAATCCCCCTCCAAGCACAAATCCTCTATCCCTCAAATTTCCCCTCTGAGCACAATCCCCCCTCCCTCTACAAATCCCCCCTCCGAGCACAAATTCTCTACCCCTCAAATTTCCCCTCTGAGCACAATCCCCCCTCCCTCTACAAATCCCCCCTCTGAGCACAAATCCTCTACCCCTCAGATTTCCTCTCTGAGCACAATCCCCCCTCCCTCTACAAATCCCCCCTCTCAGCACAAATCCTTCACTCCTCAAATATATCCCGTGAGCACAATTCCCCAAATACCTCTCCTAGCACAAATCCTCTACCCCTCAGATTTCCCCTCTGAGCACAATCCCCCTTTCTCTACAAATCCCCCCTCCTAGAACAAATCCTCTACCCCTCAAATTTCCCCTCGCCCAGCCAACCCCCCCCCCCCCCAGTCTTATTTCCTAGCACTAATCCTTCCACCTCCCAAAATTTCCCCTCCTAGCACATATCCCCCAGTCATCTTTACTAGCATAACCTTCCCCCCTTCCTAGAAGAAATCCACTCTCCTAGTACCAATGCCCTCCTCTGAAATCACCCCTTCTATCCCAGCCAACCAAATGCCCACAGTGCCCCGGGCAGCCGCCCCTCCTGCCCTCCCCTTGTCCCGGCCCTGGTTGGAATACATATGTTAGGTGTTGCAATGCCTTTTCCTGACAGCTGCTGTAACATTGCTCCGATTCCCTGACACAAAGGACAGTTCTGGTGGGTGGAGCTTCTTTGTGGCGTTTGTCGCGCATAGGACAGCCCTTTCACGCGAATAAGCTGCCTTATGCACGACGAGCAAAAACACTCCGAAATGCGTGTGGGAACCCAAGTTCCCGCTGTGCTAAGATGTGAGAGGGGCCTTCGGGGTTAAAACAAGTGACAAGGAGGCAATATCATGTCTCTTGTCAAAAACCTTCTGAAAAGTGATACATTTCAGATCACCCTTTAGAGGAATAACACACGTGTAAACATCTAGACGACTGGTAGCCCAAATCCAGCCCCAGCTCCGGCTACCTTTTCCATTTCATCCCAATTTCAGTACAAATCTCTGTCCAGGCCCTGAAGAAGGAGGAGTGTCCCCCGAAACACGGTGGATTTATTTGATGCTTTTAACCAATGAACGTTTAGAAAGAAATCAGGCGAATGTTGTTTGGTACTAGACAGGTGCGGACTGACAACTCATGGGGCCCCTGGGCAATAGGGGATCATGGGGCCCCTGTGTCCTTGCCCAAACTCAAAAAAGCCTATGGAAAAAAAAAGGTACCAGGGGCATCTCATGGGGCCCCCTACTGACCCCGAGCCTTCGGGCAGTGCCCGAGTTTACAAATGGTCAGTCCGCCCCTTGTACTAGATGCCCCAACCACCCACCCAGAAGAAGTTTGTCTGTTGATCGATTGGACTCTCGTTAGGACCACTGACACCCTGGACTCATAGTACACAGTTCTGAGAAATCACATTAGCCACCCCTAGAATTCGTTCAGCGCTCTTCATGTGATCTGTGTGAGACTCTACCGATCGATCGTCACCCTAATCTGGAAAATATTCTCTGATGACCAATGACCCATCCTATTTATCTATACTTCTGCTGGGAATAACACATCTACCGTATTTGCCGGCGTATAAGACGACTTTTTGACCCTTGAAAATCTTCTCAAAAGTCGGGGGTCGTCTTATACGCCGGTACACATGTTAGGGGGGGCTGCGGCATTAAGTACAGGGGTTTGCAGGGGCTGACGTCTCTTACCTGGATCCAGTCCCACGACGATCCGGTCCAGGAAGCGCGGCGTCTCCTTCAGTTCGGCCACTGGATGTTCGTGCGGCTGCGCGGCTCCGCCTCCTCACCGGTGATTGGCCGCCAGAACTGTAGCTCAGGAAAGGCACACAGGCGGCCAATCACCGGCGAGGGGGCGGAGCCGAGCGGCCCCGCGAAAATTGAGTGCCGGAGCAGCAGGTAAGTGCTCTGTGTAGAGGTGCTGCTGCAACCACATATGCTGGCTGCAGCAGCACCATACGAGAACAGGGTCAGCAAGTCTCAGTGGGAGGAATAGTGCCCCATCATTGGTGTCACTGATACCAATGAGGGGGCACTATTCCTCCCACTGATACCAACGATGGGGCACTATTCCTCCCACTGACACCAACGATGGGGCAC